AATGAATGAGTGAATCAACTGAGTGAATCAAAAAAGCTTCCAGAACCACTACTACATAGCAAATTTTGGCGTAAAGTATGATTTCACACTCACAAATGAGAATTTTTCTCTTTTTTATGTTTCTGTCATGAGAAATAATACTTTTCGCATCAACGCAAGCAAAAAAATAATATTTTATCCTAAACAAATTTCTGTTTATTTCTTAATTTATTTTGATACATCTCTAAAAAATGTCATGTGACATGGGAATCTAACTTTCTTCTACTCGAACAATACTTACTGTACTAGTCTGGGGTGATTATACACTACTGCAAAGGCTGATCGTTTCCTATATGTTTTGTTTTTGATAGGTCAGGCACAGAAGAAGAATATGGGGAGTTGGAGCAGTTGCTGCAGGACATCTACACATACAGAGAAGATAAAATAGACCTGAAGAAGAAAAAAGAGAAAGAAGAGAAGAAAAAAGCTGAAGAAATGAGAGAGGCTGCCCTTGCAGCTTGCCCCTACAACTGAGCATTTCACAGGGCTTAAACTTTTGGTCAGATGGGATGAAATAGCTAGTACATAAGATATATGAGGCAGGCTACCCTGCTTTGCAGGAAAAGAAGCTTGCTCTGTGGGCAGTTTTCAAAAAAAGACTTTTTCACCCAAATGGCAAGCTCGTTAAGGCCTGGGGGAAATTGTAAAAAAGAAAAGAAGAAATATTTAGTTTGAGGTTCACAATTTTTCCTAGGCCCAAGATTCCTCATATTGGGAGGCACAAAATTGGGTGTAGTCAGCATTAGTTGTTTTATGTTACCCCTAAGAGATATGAAATTGTATGTTTACTTAACAAAAAAGTTAGGCCTATCTTTGGTGTGAGACTGATTAGTGAATGTTCTCTTTTAATAGGAACGAAGTTAGATGTATCACCATACATGATATAAGGTTCCCCATTAGGCCTCTGAAATCGTCGGAGTGTCTCAGCTAAACCAATCACTCCAAGCATGAAGGCATCTTGCCTCTTGCCCTCTATTAGCCCAAACATTATTTGCAATCAAACCATTGGGAGCTTGAACAGACTAGATAAATAGAAATACAAATTTTAAACGAACGAGATCACAAGATAGAGTGAATCTTCTCAGTCCATATCCAAAAAGGGAAGTAAAAGTTGAATGGTTTGATACCTGAAACTTGATACAGTGCACTCTCTTGTGTCCACTGATCATGATATGCTGGTTTCTTGTGGGGC